GCGGCAGAGATAATCATGGAACCGGCTTATCCTTTCCAACGAGCCAGTAAAGTAAGAAGGTAAGGAGTGACAATCGAGACAAGAGTGCCGACTCCCAACCCGAAGGTTCGCGGTTCGACTCTTGACAACAAGAACACACTTCAGACGTATGAGGACAATAAACTTAATGTCATTTCGGTTGGTCATGGAAGGAAGATGCTTGGGTGATCTTCCAATGCGGATATGGACGGAACGAATGGCCAAGATGGACTCATTGTCTTCCTTTCTTTTTCACTTTACTTCTTTTTATTGAATACATGATGACGACACAGTTTTCAAGAAGGGGGAAGCGATCAATCCAAGGGCTATCAAACAATCCACTTAATGGAGAAAGTCAGGTTGTGGTGGGATTCGAACACACGTTCTCCTGGGTGATCATCTGGTAACCTTTACTAACAGGCGAGCACTGTGAAGTGGAAAACTACATATTCGTCAATTACCTCAACCAATAATTAAGCTGTGCAAGTTTCGGCAGACAAAAAAGTACGCAATGGGGCCATCATTTGCTGATTGCAATTAAAGGATTTAAATGTTTCTTCCTTTGTCATTCTGGTGGTTATTTTCATTGCCTGACGTTTGATGCTGAGCCGTTTGGCTGTCGTCCGGATCAATATCACGCCTAACCTGGTGGTGGACCTTCTAGTCCGGGGGCTTAGGTTGCCGGTTTCCATGATTGAACAGTACGACCTTGTGACCATAGGTTTTGCCGCATCTTATGTTCATCACACGAGGGTGTGTTACGAAACTCTGCAGGGGTTTTTCTTCCATACGCGCAAACAGATTGGTGGAAGGCTATCGCAACAGTGGGTGGTGGATTTGTGCGCTGTCTGCTCCGCAACTTAGGAGTACGTTGGAGTGACTGATCGAATAGTGAACGCATTGAATTCGATTTCGTTGAGCAACAATTAATAGGTGGCGTACACTACTGATATTCTTATACCATCGAGGCGTGTTCTCGTTTGTAAGTGACAGAAAGAACTTTTCCAACAATGGTGTTTAACCGAATGATCATTCGTTCAAGTTCGGTAGACTGAAGATCATTCACTGGAGTGGTCATCAAGTGAAAATAATACATGTTTAATGTTACTATTGAATGGTATTAGGTATAACACAACATAATAACATGAAACGTGTATTGCTCATGCTTGATGACCACTACAGACGAACGTTTTCTTTCCAAACATAAATACTTACATGGATCCATAAATATATATACATTATATATATATATATATATCAAAATTGTGTTCAAGAATAATTGGATATCAATGGAATAATATGGAATAATATAAAACAAAACAAACAATGTATGGGGACAGAATCAATCCGTTCATTAACACGTGGTGGCGTTATATACTTAGGGTACACAACGTTCAACGATTTGGAAATTATCTGATATGCTGTTTACGACGTTCATAAGTTATGAACAGTGCTGTTTGCGCGGTGGCTTCGTCACTGTCATAGGTGTGTTTTGGACCCTATGGTTTGAGGTTCGAGTACCATCACCACCACCCAACGTCGGTGGTAGAGACAAACTCGCAATAGTTCTGTTCAATATAACGCGTGACCTTATCGGGTCTGTATGTCGAGATTGTGAAAAGTTCAATAGCCTCGGTGGGATTCGAACCCACTAGGCATGGATACCGCCTACGCTTTGTACGCGCATGCTCCACCAGCTGGTGAGCTACGAGGCCACACCGACAGAGCACTGATCTGTTTCACATTCATTATCGGGTCTGTCACTTTAGGTCCCGGGGCCTAGGTTGCCGGTTTCCACCACTTAACCGTAGGTCCTCGTGACTATGGGATTTACCTCATCTGCGGTTTATCACACAAGGGTGTGCGATAAAAATTTAAAAAAATTTCAGTAATTAACCATTCGTAAAAAGATTACTTTCCAATTATACTTTCAGCTGGGATTATTTTCAATCAACAACATTTCATTTCACCATCAATACATTGATCGGGCCAACCTCGATCCACAGAAGGAAATTGAAAAAGGGAATTTTTCGAATGTTTCCAATGACAATTTTCAGAGAAGGAATGTTTGGGGTAGAATAGGAAAATTCCCGGGAGGAGAAAAATGGCTTTCAGGGTATTCATATGTCAAATATTGATATTTTTAATAAGCCTTTCATGCTTCAAACGATCCACTTTTATTCATAATTGAAAGTGAAATTTCACACAGTTTATTTCATTTTTTTTACCTGCCAAACAAAAACGATCGTTCAGTTTTCCATTATCCCATTTTCGATTGTTAAGTATTTGAGGAGAATAGTACTTGAGTTCCCGTTTGGCGCCAAAATGTGATCTCCATAGTCACAACGAACGGGCATCGATCGAAGAGGGGATTCAATGCATAGCACTGGAAATCCAGTCTGCTATTCCACGGCTTCCTGTAGTCATTAGAAAAATAGGATACAACGGAATAAGTCTGAAATTGGTTCTTCAGAGTGTATTCCCTTTCTTTCGATACAAGCAGGACTTAGGATCCCGCAGTTTATTCAGTACTGTGCATCAGACGATAGATTACATCCACCGTTAGGCAGGACCTTCAGCTATTCAGTTTTTGCAAAGATTAACCATGTAGTCCAGTGCGCCGGAATTTGGTAACAGTCTCATGACTGCCCATTTGAATGAAGAGTATGAGGAAGATTGGAATTTTCAAACCCGTCTCTGAATGAAAGTGGAAGGTTAAAGTTGAAAAGACAATGAATAGATGGACAAGCGCAACTGTTTGCGACACCCGGCCATATCACTCAGTGTCTCCAACCAATGATCCCGATGTCTCCATCCAGGAAACCTAACGCGACCTATCGGAGCAAGTATCCTGGTCAGGATTTTCATACCTTCATACCAGGTCTGAATTTGACCACCCCTTACTTTTTTTCCACCCGTCGCCTGCCTCGGTAAATAGCACACGCCGTGGTGATCTATTTGGTGACATGTGTGACATGCCCCAACCAACGAAGTAGACCACTTGCTCCAGTGGAGGACGGTGAACACCTAAAACTCTGCGCCTAACCTCAGCAGTGCTCGTCCCGTTTTCCCACCAGACTCATGCAATCCGGCGTAGACAGCGGCGTCTGAACACCATCGACAGTCCATCTTTATCCTGTTTTCGTAATGGTCAAGTCTCCGCACCGTATAGCAGAACTGTTGCAGCAAATCTCAGCAACAACATGGTGAACAAATCAAAGGAGTTATTTTCATTTTTTAGTTTAGAGATAGAAAATACCATACATTCAAGCATCCACTTTTAGACTAACCGTTGGGTATCCGTAATTAATTCAATTCTCCACTGGTGAATCAGTCGATTACGACTATTCATAGTTGGCATTTTGGGGATCAACGATCAATCAGTTAGAGACAGCACTTCCCGCCTGATTGTATTTCCTTTACTGTCCAAAAGCATACAATTCAAAATGAATATGTTAGACTCATAAGCAAAACTGCTATCTTACCCCTGGCCACACGGGTATGGGTCGTTGAAAATGAAAGCAGAACAGACAGACAGATACCGGTTTTCGAACGAGCGTAAAAACGGAACAACAATGATAAACGAAACAGAAAAAATGAGCTGTAACAATGCACAACTGGAGTATGTCACTATCGTGCACATTTTTTTTTACTTTTAGGATTCAGGACTAAAGATATATTCACCAATCAGTTGTTCATTTTGCGTCAAAATGTCCTGTTCTCTATACATTCTCTTTAAATGTCGCACTACATTTGTGAACGTTGACAGCAAATATTTTGTGATGATGTGTATGTGTGCATGAGACTTCTTGAAGGAATACAAAAATTCACGCAGTGACAAGGAGTAAAGTACTCTCATTATTCTTTCAGTTCTGACGCACATTTGAAAACGGATTTGTTCTATCGAACAAAAAGCATCTCAAAGCGGTCCCTAAATGATGAATTGATTGACTGATTGACTGATCGATCCATTGATTGATTGATTGATTGATTGGTTGGTTGATTGATTGATGGATTGATTGATTGATTGATTGATTGATTGATTGATTGATTGATTGATTGATTGATTGATTGGTATCTTCACCATTCAGCTATATTCATTTGATTAACAAAACTGTGCAAACAATATACACGAACAGGACGATAGGGCGACCGATGTTGGAGTGGGATTCAAATAGTTCAAGGGACAAAGGATTGGCCGTAAAATACCGCCAAACCAAAAACAAGCGAACGAGTTCCGTTGTCATTCAGTGTGTCCCATACAAAGAGCAGAAATGGGCTTCTGTGTTACGACGAGTCGATGTGATTCGGCTGCATAATGAAATCCGTTCCAATTACGTTGATCTACGGATCCCACTGTGGATTGCTTGCATCTACATCTATCAAATAGGAAATGAGCTTCTACGGAGCTACCGACAATCATACAGCAATCCAATTTTATCTTGCTGTTGTGTAGAGGTCAGAGGTGCTCCCTGGAAAAAGTCAATGCGTGCTGAGGACGTCTCTTGTACCGAACTCGCTCGAATGATGTTTATGAAACCAGCTTATCAAAGGTCGGTGGGAAAGTTCAAGGTGAGACTAAAAGCTTTTGTTCTATTGTTAATTTTCAATAATCAAAGAGTGATAGAGAACGGAGCTCAATCATTTTTCATCTCCAGTAGGTGCAAGTCTTCTCCAAATCGGATGGGAACAACTGACGATCGAGATGACTGCAATGGGGGAGGGGGGGTAAATACGTTCACTTTCCTCCGATTGCTGAGCTAAATTGTACTTTCTGATGCAATTACGATAAAACTTGAATTGTTACCTTTGGTTGTTAGTGAAGACTGCGCAAAAAGAGAAAAAATTGCTTAGCAGGGTGAACAGGCGAAACGGAAGACTGTTAACTTGAGAAATAAAATCAAATTTTTGGGGTAAAATCTACTGCCGAAATTCGGTTCAATCTAGGAGGCCATAGAGTAACACGAAACGGTTTGTGCACTTTTATTTGACAATTTGTTCTCTTTCAATCTGATCCTATCCACTAGCTGTGTGGCTACCGGTCGAATGGACTCTTTCCGTCATCATACGCACTTTAAATTCGTAGTTTGAGTTTAGTTCAGTTTCAGTTCAACCATTAACCATGCACAATCGTGCGCCGGTTTTGGTTGCTGTCTTTTGGATGCCCATTTGGATGAAGAATAGGAGAAAAGAAAGTTGAAAGTGGACTCGAATAGAAAATGGAGAATTTCAGTGGTCTAAGGTTGCAAAGAGATTGAGAAGATGCACGAACGTCACTGTTTACGACACTCAGTCATATAACCCAGTGTCTCTAACCATCGGTTATGATCATCCCAAGGGCCCCATCCAGGGAGCCTAACGGAACCTATGTGACACAGTCCCCTGGTTAGGGTTTTCATACCCTCGTGCCATGTCTTAGGTTGACTACCCTTGACCCTTTTACCAACCGCTACCTGCCTCAGCAAACATAGCTCGCCGTGGCAACTGTGTAGAATAACGGTCGGACTAGAGAAGAAGTCACAGACAGCTCATCCAACACGGTGACTCTCTCACTCAAATGCTTCATGGGTAGCGGACACGTGAAAGTAGACTGTCAAACGAACAATGAAGTAGTGTATGTATTTCATATACAATACTATGATATAGCTCAATTTCGAAATCGATTCAAGATGAGAAATATATCTTGTACCACTGTTTACCTAAATTTTGGAAAGGATATTTTACCGGTTGGGCGTTTGTCTTAAAATCTTTTTTCTCGTCGCTTTTATTACTCACCTCAATGTCATGAACAGAATACAAGGCAAACCCCATGGTCACGAAGACCTGCTGTTCAGTGATGGAAACCGGCAACCTAAGCACCAGGACTTGGAGTGGCGAACCACATAAGGCCCCGGATAGGTTAGGCGTGATACTGAACCGGACGACAGCAAAGCTGTCTACTACCAAGGTTGGATGATGGGGCTCGAACTTCGAACCATAGGGTCCAAAGTACGCCGGTGACAGTGACTAAACCACTGCGCCACAACCGAAATCTTGTGCACATTCAGAATAGTTTGAATTCGCAAACGTGTGTTTGTATATGTGTGTGTGTGTGTTTATTTGCATATGTACTGGCCGGAAAACTTACCTGGTTNNNNTCCGACTTTGCTGATAGATTTGTGCATTGTGCAAACCGATACCGCAAAACGCGACATACGATTTGAACACGCGCACATCTCGCTCGGTAAACACATCCTCGTCATCTTGTGTGGCTGTCCCAGTGGAATCCGATTGTTCTTCCCCCTGCTCCTGGTGCTGCTGCTGCTCCTGGTGGTGCTGCTGCTCCTGGTGGTGCTGCTGCTCCTGGTGGTGCTGCTGCTCCTGGTGCTGCCGTAGCCGCTGGTTTGCATCTCGCTCTCCTTTCTCACCGTGTGAGGGTGTGGAATCGGGCACCATTGCGGTCAATCGTTTCTTCTTGTTCATGATCACAGCAACCGCCAGAACCTTGCCCTGAATATTCTTGATTGGCATGCAAAGTAAACAGCGTGTGCGGTAGCCGGTTTCCCGGTCGACAAGGTCAGAGAATCGTGGATCCTAACGAAAGATTAGGGAAAATTAGATAAGAATTTTAGTAAATAAACTATCATTAGGTATCAGTAAGTTCGTACGGGACTAAACAACAAAATGTGGAATGATGACCAAATTCGGTAATCGCTAACTTGCTTAAACCTATACAGAAGTGAACATGCATGCATAAGTGATATGAATAGACTCGGGTCTTCAACAGGTTTTCACTGCCAAGAAAGTACCGGGTTTGGGATCTCAGATCAAAGCCGATTAAAAACCGCTTCCTAGCCACCGCAGAGGCGGTTGGAATTCGTCTACATAATTCCCCCCCCCCCACACACACACTTATTTGCCCATACACAATGTGTGAAGTCATTTAACCTACTATGGCCCTCCACCTCCCCTCCTCATCTTCTCCCACCTCCTTCTCCTCCTCCCAATCCCACCGCCAAATCACACAATAAACATGGACCAAACTTAAGTTCCGACGGCAGGATCAGACATATGCGGTTTTGTGAATCAGAGACAGAAAAAAATATCCCCATTTGAATAATCAATAATTTTGTTTCCTCTTTTCTATACAAAATGATGTTAGATAAAATGTGACGTATTAGCCAGTTGATACGTCACCAAAACAAGCTTGTTCGCTAAACTGCGTTTTCATTCAATATGTGTCGCTGATATATTGCGGGATTGGACAAAACTATTAAAACCCGTCAGGGTGGTGATGGCGCTGTGGTTTAGTCGTTGTCACCGGCGTGCTTTGAACCCTATGGTTCGAGGTTCGAGCCCCGCCACCGCCACTCGACTTTGGTGGTAGGCAGCTCTGCCCGGTCGCCCGGTTCAATACCACGCCTAACTTATCCGGGGCCTTATGTAGTTCGCCACTCCAAGTCCTGCGGGGCTTAGGTTGCCGATTTCAACCACTGAACAGCAGGTTTTCGTGACTATAGGGTTTACCCCGTTTGCTGTTTATCACACCTAGGTGTGTAATTCAGAAAAATGCCTCAGGACAAGTACAGACAACCAACAGCAGAACTGCTCTAGACCGAGCGAGGAGGCCTGCCTATAGCTCAGGCGCTGAAAAGTCAAAATTCAGAATCATGAGTGGGGGCCTATGGAGCGTAGAGACTTGAGTAACCAGAAATTCAGTCCTTCAACTGTACATTTCTAGTCCCAATGATAAATCCTTCTGTTGCAATAATGCGCCTATAGCACTACCGATTCGAATATGCTCTTTTGGGGTGAGAAGACCGGACAAGTGAGAGAGAACAATTTCAATGAATTGTAGTTGTTTCGATTGATGAAGTGAAAAAATATTGCCTTTAGTGGTGGTCTAGTGGTTTAGTCGCAGTCATCGGTCTGCATTGGGTCCGAGAAACAATCCCCGACACTGCCACATAACTTTGGTAGTAGGCAGCCTTGCTGCGCCCGGTTCAATACCGCATCTAACTTACTAGGGTCTTATGTGGTTCGCCAATTCACGTCTCGGGGCTTAGGTTGCTAGTTTCCATCACCGAACAACAGGTCTTCGAGGCTAAGGGGTTCCTCATCATCATCACCACCACCACCACCACATCTGCTGTTCAACACATGTGTAATAAAATTTTTTAATTACTCTCCGGGGTAGCAGTGGTAGTGAGATGGTTCACACGATCAAGGGTTAACCACAAGTCTTGAAAATGATTCTTGATCTTATTATTTTTCCGGAAATCGGCGACAAGAAGGTCTTTTATATGAGTATAGTATAACCCGGAAGAGGCAGTGTTTGATGGCAGCTCATTGTAGAACTCAAACAGCGGAAAATTTGAATGGAAGCCAGTATACGTATTTGTGGTTTTGTTGCATTTAGTTTAGGTGATAGCTCCATGTTCCGTATACAACCAAACGGTAACCGGAAGACAATCCAAACGAGCGTACCGGTTTCGTGGTTGTAAAATTGGAACTGGAATGGGCTCTTAAATTCAAGGTGCTGGATTCCATACACACACATACACACCGCAGGCACAACCTAGAGCTCCAATACTCAACTAATGCGACAAGTTATGGCGAACTCTGCTGTTCTGAGCGCAGAATATCTCCAAAAGCAAAACAATTAAAACCTGTTCAAACGAATCAACCGACGGCTCCTGTTAGTTCACATCTTACCAGTGATGTAGGTCTCCGCCGTTACACTCCACATCGGAAATGACATAGTTAGCGATTTTATCTCAATTCCTTTTTCTTTCTATCATACATTTAAACCTCTCTTCAAACCTTCGATCGCATCATCATCATTGTTCAGTGCAATACAGTGAAGCGAACTTCACTGATCGCTGCCAAACTCATATTGCATACAAAGTAAGTGAGAATATGTAAGCAGGATAGGGATTGGACTTAACTTAGGGACGGGAAAAGAAAGTGAACCTCTGCGGTCAACACACAGAGAGTAAACAGTTCAGCTGTGCATACATACTATTTCAAGCATTCTGGTTTGATAAGAAGTGACAGTATGATCGCCATTGCTGTCAGTTCGCGGCCTGATTTTCAGTGTCTCCAACCATGCGGTTTTGGAGTCTTTTGGACCCCAACACGGAAGCCGAGAGACACCTACTCTACCTAATCGTTCTGTGCATTTCTTTATGCCTCGGCTCAACATTAGCTGCTAGTCTCCACGTGGCTTTTTCCAGCCTGCAACAGCCACAAAGAATAAGGCGCGCTGCGATAGGCGACCGTCGGATATACGCAACACGTGTCCTAACCAACAAAGCCCATTGAGCTGGATTCGATGCGATAATGAGCTCTTGTTTGACGTATTCCCAAACACCCGACGACTTTCTTCGAAGTTACTAACCCGCTAACTCCATCCCACTTGGGCTAGATTACGTAGGCATCGATTGTCGAACGCTGCTAAACGACGGATGTCTTCTACCCGTAAGTTCAAGGTCTCACAATCGAAAAGCAGAACCGATCGCACAGTGGCGCAGTATACGCGACTTTTCAATTTCAATGAAACATCACGTCGTCGCCACAGGTGCGTATGGCGTAACTCGAGGACTTGACGCAGAGTGAAGATTTGATCGATACAACCGCGACCTGGTCGAAATCCTGATTGTTGTTCACGGATGTTTGTCTCCCTAAACGGTGTCAAATGTCAAAGTATGATGGAGGCTATTAACTTAGTGACGATTGGGATCAAACTTATTCCACGGTGATTTGCGCAGTCGTTGCAAGATCCCTTCTTCTCGGTTGGGCTACCACTTCAGATCAACAAGCAACCTTCGCTGCGAAGCGTATTGCCCGGCTAATCTGATCCCACTGTTCATCTACACTACCACCCCGCGGCGCATTTAGCTCTTGCCCTAGTTCTGATTCAAAACGGGCATGAGTCAGAAAATCGATGATCTGCCAATCGAGTTCGGTGGGCTTTTCTATGACCAGTGAGTTGGAGAGTGAACTGCAGCAAAACTAATGCATGATCAGATTCAACGCAGATGGTCCAATAGGACCTGCAGTTTTGTACTGAACCACGCAATGGTAGCTTACTGCTATGCGGTCAATCTGAGTTGGCGTGCCAGTTGAATTTGAGCGCCATGTTGCTGTCCGTTGAGAGCTGTGATGGAAGTTGGTACTGGATAGAAACAGATGATTATCTGCGCAGAACTGAAGAAGTCGACCGCCATTTTCTGTTCGCTGGCCGGGCAGAGCACAATAACCGCCTAGGCAAGCTTTCGATGAGCTCAGTTTTCTTACTTGAGCGTTAAAATCGCCTGCGAGAACAACTATATCGGAGCTTCGACTCAACCGAATGAGTTCGGTGAGTTTATCAAAAAACTCGTCCTTTTGTGTATCAGAACTGCAGTTTGTCGGAGCATACGCTGAAATGATGAACAGACACCTTTTGGTGTTGCTTCTCTTCCGGACGCTGGTAGACCTTTGGAGCCGCATCGCACATAAGCGACCGTTAACCGGGACCCAGTCGAGTAATGCGGCTTCGTTTTTATTACACACCTAGGTGTGATAAACAGCAAACGGGGTAAACCCTATAGTCACGAAAACCTGCTGTTCAGTGGTTGAAATCGGCAACCTAAGCCCCGCAGGACTTGGAGTGGCGAACTACATAAGGCCCCGGATAAGTTAGGCGTGGTATTGAACCGGGCGACCGGGCAGAGCTGCCTACCACCAAAGTCGAGTGGCGGTGGCGGGGCTCGAACCTCGAACCATAGGGTTCAAAGCACGCCGGTGACAGCGACTAAACCACTGCGCCACCACCACCCGCACCTCGCTTTATTTGCTCTAGCTGTTTCGGGTTGGAGGAAACCACGTGGAAGTTAACAGATGCCGTGGAAATGAGACATGAAGAAATGCACAGAGTTATTAGGTAGAGTAGACGTAACGCGCCTTCCAGGTTGGGTGGAGACATTGAAGGATATGGCAGGAAACCGACAACAGTGGCGTTTTATTCATCATTTCTCATCAGGCTAGAATGCTTAAAATGGAATGTATACAGAGTTTGATTGTGCACTCTGTGTGTTAACCATGGTGGTTCAACTTCTTCTCCCTCCCGCAAAGTAGGTCCAATCCCTTGAATTTTACCATCAACCTTGTATGCATTATGAGTTCGACAGCGATTAGTGAAGTTCGCTTCATTGTATTTCGCTGTACGATGATGATATCGCAAACGGTGCTCCTTGTGGGTTTACTCAACTTCTGTGCGAACTTTCTACTTGAATTTTTTTTCTTTAGCTTGACACATTTCCATTATTCCCAAAAGATAGTGACCAGAACCTCAGCTCAAAAAAAGGTTGGTGATTGCATAAACTGAGAACTGAGAGGAAAAAGTTCACCTACCGTGTTCAATTGTATTGAACATCCACATTCTGAAGCGCTCGTTTTTGTGTATGGATTTATTATAACAAGAATTTTTGTTATACTTTGATAGACTGACTTATTTCGATCGCATTTTGGAAAAACAACTACAGACATTTCCTGAATTTCGGTCTCATGCCCTGCAGCCATCCAAAAGTATGCTGAAGACGTCGTTTTATGTTAGAAAATTTCATCTCCTTTGGAATTCGATTCCTTCAACGAAACTCTATTTCACATTCACGGGTCTGGTCTTAGTCTTTAGACATCCAAGTGCCTGGAGTGCATCTCCAGTTTTCTCCGCTCTTCAATTCTAACGGACTCTGCTACCCTTAACCGTAACCCTTAGTCAAATACCTGGGTGTCACCATCGACAGTAATCTCCACCGGTATACACATTTACAATTGTATGGGAAACCTGAGAAGCCTCTTTTCAGTTACACAAACTCAGACCATTCCGAGCCGCACAGTCAGTCCTGTTCTCTTACGTTCACCAATGCCTTTTACCCATTCTACTCTATTGCTCCCCTGCAGTGTTTCCCGGCCTTTTAGAACAAAACTTCAAAATCATTTGACGTAGTTTGATGACAATCAGTCGTATCATTAATCAGAGAACTGATTAATCGTCACATCAACTTGTGAAATTTGAAATTTGAAACTCTAGACGACCCTCTTCATCTACTACATCCTGATCTATCGTCTTGTCATTTCCACCCGTCCACACACTCTTCTTTTCGGCAACTAATCTCTCTTAATAACATTCAAAAGAATTCTTACCAAATAGGTTGCCAAGGCACGATGCTTGCCGAGGCAGGTGGGTGAACGAACGCCAACGATAGTCAAAATAAGACCCCGAACGAGGGTATGAAAACCCTAACCAGGAGACTCGGTCACATAGGTGCTATTCGGCACATTGATTGTGTATCTCGGGCTGATCGCAACCAGGGGTTAGGGACACGGTACCGTAAACAGTGGCGTTTGTGCGTCTCAACTTCTTTGAAATCTTAGTCTATTGAAGTTCTCCATTATCTCTCCTACTCTACTTTCAACTTTTTTGTCTCCTACTATTCATTCGAATGGGCAGCCAAAAGACAGCAATTTAAACTGGTGCACGAAAGTGTATGGTTGTTGGTTAAACGAACTGAACTGAGCTTTCAGGTGTTGAACGACCGGAATTGTTAGTCACAAAATTAAAATCTAAATGCAAAGTTCTCTTTACGGAGTTCTCATAGATTTAACCTAAATATACGCCAACAAATGCAATCTGGTTGTGGTTGTTCTTGGTCGATATCGATCACCGGTAAAATTGACGCAGTGTATATGACTAACAGACTGTACTACTCGATGACAATGTAACTGAGATACTATCTAACTAACCTGACGTTCTTAACTCTGTCTACTGATGCATTTAAAGCGATGATTCCACAGCATTTCTATCGAGCATCCAACCCTATTTTGGTTGTCACTGTCCACCTCATAGGATGTTCTTCAGAACCAACCCGTGGGATTAAATTAGCACCTTGTTTTTGCGGTCAAGCTAAGACCTGGCATGAGGGTATGAAAACCCTAACGAGGAGACTAGGTCACAGGCCCCATTAGGCTCCCTGGCTGGGGACCTCGGGATGATGGTCACCGATGGTTAGCTACACTGAGTGATATGGTTGGGTGTCGCAAACAGTGGCGCTCGTGCATCCACTCGTTATTTTCCTAACAGCATTCTATATGTATTCTCCATCTTTCGCTTGAATTTGCTTCGACATTCCAATCTTCATTTCGCTCTTTTATCCAAATGGGCAACCAAAAGACAGCAACCAAAACAGCGCACGAAATTGCATGGTTAATAGTTGTGAAAACTGAAACTGAAAGATCCAAAACCTTTTGTTTTCGCAGAGCGAAATGTAACCACTAAAGTTTAGTTTTTCTTTGTTACCCATCGATAGGGCCAAAAGCAGAGGTCATTCCGGGTCGCGAGAACTTAATATTCCGCCGTGCAAAGACCAAAATGAGCAATAAAAAATTCGCTAAATGCGATCGTTTGCAAACGCCCAAGTGATTACGAAAGAGTCAGACATAAATCTCATTCGACAGCAAATTCTCTGACTTACTGCGTACGCGTCCGGTATATTGGCATATGTCCCAGTTTGAGCAACGTGTCCAGATATACCAACCCCCAAAGGAAATTTAATATGGTGTCTTTCGGTATGTTCCAAGCTCTCCAACAATGAACAATTTGGAGTCACATCAAATAATTTGCTCACTAGTACGGTCTCCCCAGTATTATTATCCTTGTCCAGGAGAAATAATGATCCGCGGTCTGCATTTAATAAAATGCAAACGTTCTGAAGTATCTTGAAACATAATGCTGTCACATCAAGCTCGTAACATATATCGAGAACTAATTCACTGATTAACTCCCTCTCATCGAGTGAGAACAATCGACGGGATTGCGCAGTTCGTGGGGAACTTGCGTTGTCTTTACAACTGTTCTCAACCGCACTTCTCTCGGAAAGTGATGCAAGAAAGCATATATTTGGTGTAATGAATGTTTGACTTCCATCAGGACAGGAGGAAACGATGCGCTTGCAATCGTCAAACTCGAAATCCTGACTGCTGATTTTGCGCATCGAACCTGAAGGATTCGGACACTGTTTCGAAGAGTGGAACTCTTTGTCGGCATCTTTGGGTATTCTCTTCTCTTCTGAAGCAGTGTCCTGAGCGGCACTGCCAAGATTCGCAACTCCTGCCCACAAATCTGTTGGAAGATCGGCTTTACGATTGAAATAATTCCATGCAAATGTCGGGTGTTTATCCAGCCACTGTGTTATTTTGTCGTAGAAAGACACATTTGGATCGAACTCTGACACTGCCCCACATATTTGACAAACACATCCAGCATCAACGCCAGTCATGCGAAAACCGAGTATAACCTTCAAACCGTAGTACGCGGTATTTTGTGGAGAACAATCTAATGAAAGCAACGAACAAATTGAAGTCCTGGAGTCTTGAAATATTACTCGGGTTCGAGGCTTGCGCCCAATATTCCCGGTTCTGTATTTGTCTTCTCTTCTGCAGTTCAGGGCAGGACAGGACAGATCACAGGACTTGCGGCGGAGCCAGAAGCAGTCCAGTTTCTTGCACCAATAAGCTTGGGAACACCACGGCGCTGCAACAATTGTATTATTTCGTTCAAGTAGGCGTGGGTGGGTGCGGTTTTGGGAAAGGAAAACGCACTTCTAATGGTTCCTTTGAGTGACAGTACACGTCTGAGGTTTTACTAGGATCAAAGCAACAGCTC